CCACCCACAGACTGATTCACTCACCCACCCACAGACTGACTCACTCACCCACAGACTCACTCACTCTTGCAAAGACTCGCTCAGAAAGTTATTAACGATGCAGATCTCATGGGTAAAGAATGCACAGGTAGAGGAGAAAAATGCTTATGTAATTTACTGAAGTCTCTCAAACATGCACTGTCAATAGAAATGACAGGTACAACACATATACAGACAGGCTGCAGAAGAGAGCATTAATGATGCCTATTATAAGAATGACAGGAGAAGCAGTTTGTAATGAGTAGGAAGGAGCAGATGGAGATTATCACAGATCAGGCGGAGATCCGAAAGGGTATTAATGTGGAATGACCCATGCCATTCCAGAGTGCTATGATGTTCCCATTCAATGCAAAAATTATGGATCACTGTAATCCTTTAGTTCAAAACACAGTATTCTGGGGACTTTCACGTTTTTTAGCAGACCGTCAAAATCACTGTATCCACAACAAAGACCGCCTACCTCCTCAGGTGTGGCAACAAAGTTGATGGCAGTGTAGTACCGGTCATCCTCCTGTGACAGGCTGAAGGTGAACTGGTAGTCAATGAGCAGGGTATCTGGCCAGAGACAGACAGTAGCTGCTTACGTCTTTGCTCACCTGCAGGTGTCACCTCTCAGTTCTGGGAAAATCCTGCCCCTTTAAACAATCCCACAATGCCACAATGTCCGACTGTGCCATGACACATCAGCTGGCCACATTTCAAGAAAAGGTTCAGTAACCGACTTGAATGCACAGTGACAAACAATCATGTAAATTTCAAAAACAAATAAAGAAAACCATGAAATCTTCCTAAAGGCTTCAGTGGTCAGAGAATCCCATAAATATGGTTCCGGTAGTTCCGCACTCCACTCTTTTGCTATTACCCTTGTTTATTGCCTGCATTTGTTATACACTCTTTAGTCATTAACACATGAACTGTCAAAAAAAACACGGGAGTTTGTGGCGGCTGGAGAGAAGCTGCTTTGAACTTCTTATTTGCAGCCTTGATCCACACCAGCATATGACCTGTACTGTAGTTGAACCTGGATCAACTGACAAGAGGGAAAACATTTGCAGTCGTAACAATAACGAATATTAGTGTCCGACAGGCCTTTTGATCGGCTGGACATGTCCGAGTTGCTGTCCATACTCACAGTAGCATGTCCCTTTAAGCGGGTTACCCTGGTAACGGTTCTCTACCTCACACCTGAGAGAAACGGAGAAACGACTCCATCAGCAAGGCACATAAAGTCAGCTGGCAGAGAGACACCGTAAACGAAGCCCCGAAGAGCTCTGGGCATGGGCGTGGCTAAGCATGGGGAGGGGCTAGGGCTCTGGGCATGGGCGTGGCTAAGCATGGGGAGGTGCTAGGGCTCTGGGCATGGGCGTGGCTAAGCATGGGGAGGGGCTAGGGCTCTGGGCATGGGCGTGGCTAGGCAGGGGGAGGGGCTAGGGTTCTGGGCATGGGCGTGGCTAAGCATAGGGAGGGGCTAGGGCTCTGGGCATGGCTAAGCATGGGGAGGGGCTAGGGATCTGGGCATGGGCGTGGCTAAGCATGGGGAGGGGCTAGGGCTCTGGGCATGGGCGTGGCTAAGCATGGGGCGGAGCTAGGGCTCTGGGCATGGGCGTGGCTAAGCATGGGGCGGAGCTAGGGCTCTGGGCATGGGCGTGGCTAAGCATGGGGAGGGGCTAGGGCTCTGGGCATGGGCGTGGCCATGGGACCAGGAAAACTTACAGGTGGCAGCGGTCTCCTTTGATGCCTTTTGTAGTGCAGAAACACTTCCCGTTGCTGGGGTTACACATGCTGGCATGTCCGTTACACTTGCAGGCTGAAACGGAAAACCATGGTACAGAACAAAAGTGACTTTAGGCTCATGGCTGAGCGAGCAACAGGAAGGCTAAGCAGTATTCAGGTCACCGTTTTGCCATTTCAATCCGAGCTCCTGCACAGCTGTGCCCAAGTTAATCCCAGCAGAACACTCTGTAATAGTGGATCCATTTTAAAGAACTAATCGGCTAAACAATGAGATGTTTTCTGTTCTTTTAGAAAGGTGCCTAGCAGCTACATGCATATAAAGTGAAACAGAGAATGTTAGATGAATTATCTAAGCCAGTGGTTCTCAATCCTGTTCCTGGAGGACCCCCTGCCAGACTGTTTTCATTCCAACCCTACCTTAATCAGGCTCAGATGGTCCTTAAAAGGCTAATAATGAATGTGGCAGGTCGTAAGGAATGAGGGTTGGAATGAAAACATTCTGGTCCTCCAGGGACAGGAGTGAGCACCACTGCTCTAAGCCCAGATGCTGAGGCAGGTCCTGCTCAGACTTGTGACAGCGATTCAGTGTTCAGCTGCCACACTTATCACTGGGAGAAGAGCTCCTTATACGGCACAGAATTCACCCTTCCTGTCCCCAGTTTCTCTGGCGGCACAGAACTTAAGGTGAACATCTAGGCCATGGCAGCCTCATGTCCAGGTTCATTAAGTAGCATCAGACACAGGTCTGACTGCCACTGACCTCAACACCTTCATTATACAGTTCAGGATGCTATTGCCAAATAAACGGAACAGGTTTTACTTGTACCTTTCCTCTAAATCAGTGTTTCGCAATCTGGTCTGTGGGTTTTTGCTCCCTCCCAGATAGTTCACATTTTTGCTCCCTACTGTAAGCTGGGAGGGAGCAAAAACGTGGACTGCTTGGGGGTCCCCAAAGACCAGATTGGGAAACACTGGTTTAAAGGAAAGGTACACGTATAACCTGTTCCGTTTATTAGGCAAAAGCATCCTGAATCTGATCTGGCTCATTTAGCTGCTATCACCAGCTTGCAGGTCTCTGACAGCTGGGCTCCTCCTCAGCCTTCAGCCGAGGGGCTATAGTGTCGGGTGCAGGACTCACGTTGGCAGGTGCCCCCGTTGGTGGGGTCGCCATAGTAACCGGAGATACAGCTCTCGCAGTGCTTCCCCGTGGTTAAGTCCTCGCACTTCTCACACACACTCTCGTTGACACACCTACTGTGTCCGTTACACTGACACACTGCAGAGAGATGGAAGCTGTGTTACTCGGTGATAATGATACTCTGCCGTTTGTAGGAGTACAAGTTCAGGTACATAGGAATTCCATTTTACTATCTTATGAGATACACACACACACACAGCCAGAGTGGATATTGGCCTCAGAGTGCAGGGTCAGCCGTCCATCAGTTACTGGGGTTAAGAGACTGGCTCAAGGGCCCAACGGTAATGGGATTGAGGAAACATAAGGGGGGGGGGGGCAAACCTAGATGTATAAATCTAGGAAGCAGAAACGTATTCATGACCTGAGGATCATGCGGTGAGAGAAACATATTTCTTTCAAACTGAATATTCGTATAAGCATTCCTAGCGGGAAAGGCACAGCAGTCTCCAAGGGACTCATTAGAATCCCTGCTTATAGACAAAGTAGACACCCTTGGTCATCTGACATATATCAAGTTCACGTTTCTAAACTGCTAAAACAGGTGAGGCCTTGCTATACATCTAAATGCATTAAAATGCATCTGCACGTCTATCAAAAACAGGAAGCACACACATCCCAGCATCTGTCGGCAGCGTTACGGCTCATCTGTCCAATAGTGGCGGCGACGCTTCTGAGCATTTGCATTCCTCGCATCCAGACACTCGCGTTCGCATATTCATGAATATATGCTAATGGGGAGCGACTGTCACTGAGCACAGCTGTGTGAAGGCGTGCCGTTAGCGCAGCTCACCAGGGCAATGGATGAAGGACCAATTGAACCTGTTCTCCTGCTGGCACATGGTGAGGTTGAGGGCTGGCTCATGGTAGGAGGCGGGGCTGGGAGTCTGCACCGGCCCACGATAGGAGCCCTCGATGCACTGGCCCCTCCCCGTGTTGCTGGGGTCAGTGCACCACCCACAGCCCGGCTGGTCCAGACACTGGCCGCAGGTCCGATAGCCAGAGCAGTTTTCCGCTGGAGTGAGTGGGCCAATAAGGGAGCAGTAAAGAAACTGAGGAAGCAGCACGGTGATGGAATCCATGGAACGTTACAGAGACCAGGTTCGCGATCAGCACTGAAAAAACAGCTTCTGGAAGAAGAATCTTACACAGTGACTGCTGCTCAAAACTCTGCCCTCAGTAACTAAGGAGCTCCATAAGAAAAAGAAACTGAGGGAATAGTAGATAAAGAGTGAATGCGGAGGCAGGCGGCGTGAGCGCAGCTTACGTGGGCAGCTGTTCATGGTGTACCACTCCATGCACTGTCCGAAGGGGAAGGAGGCCACGTAGGCGTTGGAGTCCACGCACTGGCGCATGTTACTGCACCACATGCACTCGGAGCTGCTGCTGGTGCACTCGCTGCAGGTGGTGCGCAGGGCGCAAGGCGTGCGGCACTGTTTGGCACTGTGATTGGCTGTGGGGGAGAGGGGGCGGGGTGTGAATGTCAAATCCGATTGGATAAACATTCTTGCGCATCAAATCTTTTTTTTTTTTTTTTTTTTTTATAAAAAAAGCTGAATAATATTTTTATACTGCCATTGCACAGGGGATTGATAGCATTAAAAAATCGTAAATTTACAGGAAGAGGAGAAGCAGCCAGAGCCCACCCACCTGGACGCTCGCACAGGCTGCCGTTGACAGAGTTGACGCAGGTGGCCGCCTTGAGGCCGCTGGAGGCTGGCTCGGCCAGGTAGCCGCAGAAGCCAGCGTCGCTGGGCTCGCCAGGCAGCCACTGCAGGGACGTGTTCGTGAAGGGAGACATGTCCTCCCAGCACCAGTATGAGATGTTTATCTTCCTCAGGCCCACCCAGGGAGTCACCGTGGCCTTGTACTGCAGCGATGAGAAGCAGAGGGTCAATTGGTCAACGGCGGAGGCCACAGCCCATGTACACTGCAAGGCAGCATCGGTACCGGGCACGGGGTGGGGGGGCAGCGGGCCTACATCCACTTACATTCACTTAATGGTTACAACATCCCACGCAAAGCGTTTCATTATTAAGTCATATATTAGAAGTTACATACTCCCTTGCTGTCGAGAGACTAAGGATGATTCCTGTAGTGTGTATAGCTCCTGGGTAATTTCCTTATATTGCTCAAGAATTAAGTGACTGCTCAATCCTGCACCGATGGTTGGCCACCTCACCCTTTCCTCATAGCAGTGACAGGGCACTCGCTGTCTGCCAGCCTGACTGCCTCACCTCTGCAGGCCTGCAGCAGCCTCCCTAGGATCTCTCTACTCAGGGGCATTCATTTCTAAGTGGTGCAGGGCATTTGGGACATTAATATTAATGTGATTTTTGTATTAAGTGCACAATGACATTCCTGTTAAGGTTTGGCTTCAGCATATAACAGTACATAAACATTATGCATGTAAAATTCTTTATAGTACACAGACACCAATACCTCCTGAATTTAATTAGAGACATGCACTTCTTGCATGACTATTATGAACCAAGAACCTTGGAGGTCTGCCTTAGTGGGGACAGAAGCAGCAGCCAAGGGGCTAGAACCCAACTCAACCGAATAAATAAAGCTACAAGAATGCAAGAACAAACTGGAATGACACTGACTGTCACCAATAACTGCTCCATAGTCTTGGCCATCAGGACGCTTATCCATCAGAACCCTAACCCCAGAATGTCATCTCTCAAGCCTATAATAATCCAGCAGAAATAGACATCTCCCCCTCTATCGATGATATAAGGTCCACAAGCCCTTCAGGAAGCAGAAGGGCAGTAAATTGCCCTGGTTGCCCTGGACCATCATGCTAACCATCTACCTCCAATATTGTCCATTGTTCCTGCTGTGAATACTCCCACCATTGTTTCCGGACCCATTAAAAATTAATTTCAGCTAAGACAGTTGACCCGTTGCATGGTTTCAAAGATCACCTCATGTCCTTGACCCCTAAAACCTTAGATACATGACCAACAGGTCAAAAGACAATGCTGTTAAAAAAGTCTTCACAACATCTGGCTCCTTCTCTCTCTCCTGGCATGTATGCCATGATTCTGTTTGAGGATCTCAGCTCCACAATCACCATCATTAAGCCCGAACTCATATAGCACAGATGGTCCCAAATGAAAATACGCTGCTCCCACTGCCACCACAACCATAACTGCCTGAGCAATAGGAGGCGCTGTGGCTGGACTCCCTCCAAAATGACTCAAATGGCTAAAAATGCACTACACCATACTTCACTCTGTACACACCAATGAGTATATTAGATGGTCCAAAGACATCTACTTTTCTCAATAATTTTCTATAGGCTAATTTTGTCATTTCTTTGCATTCCTTCTATTGTCTGTTAGAGCAGTATGCAATGTTTTCACCCTCAGTTACATCATCTCCCTTCAGGTCTATGTTCAGAGTGATGAAACACCAAAATGAGATCCAGGTACAACGGAAAGCACTCAGTGAATAGAATTGATTCTGATATTGACTGGAAATGCTAATCTGAACACCCGACAAGATAGATCAGCTAAGTTGATGTGGTGTTAGGATGACAAATTCTGACACCTAAATCAGCAGCTGGTACCGTGCAGGGATAAAGAACCACATCAAAGCTGGGCAGCCAACATGAGCCGTAGCAAGTGTTTAATGACATCCATCACCAATCATTTCTTCTACTACTTTGCCAAACAGCAGAAGGCCGATTTCTGTAACACAGGGGTAGGAGACCTTTTTCCTCTCAAGGACAATTTAAATTTTTTCGAACATCCTTCGAGGGTCATATTAAATTATTGAACACATAAATCGCACTAACCTGGTGTGATATTTTGTGTTATTGCACCAATTCTCAAAAACATTGCATCAATTTTTGATGAATAGTTTACATGCAAAGATTTGTGGTAGATGGTTTTGCATTGTGTTGCTTAAACCCCTGACTGCTAGATAGTAGTGTTGTAATCATATTCTTTTGCTGCTTGACCCATCCATTTCAACATAACATCGGAGACAGGAAGGAGCATAAGGATAGGGTTAGCAAACCTAGCTGATTTACCTGATCAGTAACATTATTGATGGCTGAGCCCAAAAGTGTTAGACTGGCTCTGTGGCACACAAGCTGAAATATACAATTATATTGGCAAGCAATTTTATTTCATTTTTTAAATTTATTTATTTTGTTTTTTTTTGTTTTTTACTGATAGGCAAACATTAATTCCTTTGCTCAAGCTGTACAAAATGCAGTGACATGATATTGGATGTTACAGGGACTGCGATAAATGCAAATGCAAATCCCACTGTTCTGATTGCATAAAAAAGTGAACTTTTAAATGAGAATATATTGCCTTACACAGTATCACGATATATCGCAACATCTTGAATCATGACCCATGTACATATCGTAATGCCATACACAGCTGTACTATTTTGTCATTGTATTGCATGAAAAAAGTAATTGCTCTCTAGAGATTTAGTTGCTTTTTTGTATATATTAAATGCTTTTTGGGCTGGATCACATCATCTTGCAGGCCATTCTCCACCCCAACTCTAATAGCATGACAGCTGTCCCATGGCAGAAGTCAGGGGTCCCATGGATCAACTCCTTCACATTCACTGCTATCTTTAAGATGAAGCGCCAGAACCAATCCAAGCCCAGCAACATGGTCAGCTGACCGGTGCTTCAGACTTCTCAAGGGGAATTAAATGTTAATGCAAATTCAAAATGCTAAACACACATGCACAATCAGGCCAACTGTAGGACAATAAGCTTTATATGTGCACTTAAGGCTGAGGAGGAAGCCTCATAAACACTCCCGCTGAGCCCGTAAAACCGCAATCAGCGGCACGGACCACCAGAGGCCGACGCTGACAGACTGACATTGTTCCCACATCAGGCTCCTGACTCAACAGAACCATCTGTGACAGCGGCGGCGTGCAATACTTGCCACTTCCTGTTAGTCTCCATTTTCCCCGCTCAACATCAATTTCCCAATTGACATCTCCCAAGATACCTGAGGAAGTCTGTAACTGGCCAATCAGTAGTGCATGGACATCTCCCATCAGCCAACCCCTACTACTGATGACGAGTCCCTTTCCTACAAGCAGCCATTTGTCTATACAGCAAGAACAGAAAGGATCCAAATTCTGCACACCATAAATACTTCATCGTACATATTCAACAAACATCTTCTGTCCATTATGAAAGTACTGTGGCGCTTAACAAAATTTAACATGATAACTGTCAAACCGACAGCCCAGCACTGATGCTTTTGCACACCATGCATGAAAAGGCTTCCCAGAGTGACTGCAGGCTTACATGACAGACTCGTTCTCCGTCTTGCTCACAGGAGGACTCTGTGGGGGATGCAGCTCAAACGACAGGCTAGTTAAATTGCTATATGTCGGAAATGTTTCACAAATTAACTTGAATTTTCATCTAGGCCAGAAAAATGCGGAGATACGCACAAGACCTATAGCAGCAGCCTCCGGGCGTGAATCGATTACCACATTGGTGAGGCATTCAAGCAGGGCATAAATGACATTGCAACAGTGTTTGCAGATTGCCCTTCTTTAACAAACCTTATTCAGCTCGCCAGCTAACTACCAGGTTTCATAGGTATGTTTGAGCAGGGAAATCCGCAAACTCTGCTGCAGACTGGCTCTCCAGGACGAGACCTGGGGAACCCAAGCTTACAGTGATGCATGTTTTCAGACTTGGCGGTTACCTGACCAGCCTTGAGGAAAACAGAACTGAGAGTCTACCCCAGGGGGGGGCAATCTTATCCAGAAGGGGCCATTTGTTGTGCAGGTTTTCGCTGCAACTTCCTAATCAGATTACTAATTAGAGGACTGATTGGCTGAAGAGTCCTCACACCTGGGTTTGAACAGCTGACCTAAAGGTTATCCCAAAAACTTGCATACACACCGGCCATTTGTGGACAAGAATGCCCAACCCTGGTCTAGCCAGCTTGAAATATGAAGTTTCAGGGCTTTTTTAAGGGGCTCACGGACATGAGACTATTCTGCTGAGGCCGGGCTCAAACCTCCCACCTGATCACAGGCACAGAGGCTAAGCCTGCTGAGCCACACACTGTTATCAAAGCGTCTTACAATTTGTTGCCGACATGCACATTTTCCAGGTGCCTCCCCATGTGCCCTGGCACTGCCAGGTTGGGACAGTAGCAAGTACAGATCTGACAGAGCCCAGGCTGGCATGGACACATGGAACCAAAAAGAATGTAGCAACCTTCCGTGCAGAACCCACGTGGGAAAAAGTGCACAAGTGATATCGTATGCTCCTGCCAGGCCACTAATGGCCCATTCTACACTCAGCACTATGCTTTTACGAGGAAGAATGATTGTCAGATCAGCAGAAAGTACATCTCTGCATGTATGCTGGCTGCTCTGTGCTGAAATTCTCAGGCTTCGGAAGTAACATTCAACTGCCACCTCAGACACTGCTTTTCAGGTTCAAACCTGAAGGACTAAATAATAAGAGCCATCCATTATCTATCCTAATCTGCAGCACTGCATGAGCACGCACGCACGGGCGACAGCCCACAGCAGATGTGAAACATCATGACAGAAGGGCTGCTATTGGCTAATGCCTCCTGGAGATTTGCATCAGAGCTGTGTGACCAGGGGCTGACGACATACCCGAGGCCTTGCCAATCTTACCAGGACGGTCATGATCTGCAGTTCCTTCAGCACAAACTCCACCTTCTTCTGTGTGGTGAGGGAGGCCAGGACGGCGTTGTGGCTGCGGCAGGTCAGCTTGGCGTTGTCGTACGAGTCCTTCGCCGTGATGAACTTCAGACAGGAGTTTCCGACCAAGTGCCAGCTCTCCCCACAGATGTTCTCTGAAAGAGGGCAGGAGAAAAGTCAGCGGCTGCCATTTCTGCTGAAGTCTGAAGAGCAGAGACCACTAAGCGGGCGTCGGGAAGTTTAGCACACAAGTCACAGCATCAGAGGTTAGGAAAAACACTTGTATCGGCAGATTACAAGGCAAAACTGGCAAACGTGAACTTGTCCAGCAAGTACAATTTCTTTCTTGGTGAGCAATAGCTGCAGGCACCCGCACAAAGGTTAAGGAGCAGAGTTTTTAGCTTAAAACCAGGCTGACGGTGAGGAGCGGCTACCGGGCAGGGCGATGCACTCCTGGTTGCGAGGCTCCCACTGACAGTTCTGGTCCATGGCGCAGCTCTTACAGCTTGTCTTCTTGTTGCAGACATACTCAGGGTTGTCCTTGGGGCACATCTCATACTCCGCAATTACTCCCTGGGGACGAGACCACGGTGTGCCTGCAATCGTTAGCATCTTCCAAGCGACACCCTTTGATCTGACATTTCAGGACAGCTGTTCTTGTGGATACAGTGAAGAACCTACACATATAGTAGCGCCGACAAACAGAACGAATTCACAACAAAAAAACGCTTTCGTTTTCTCATTAAGCAGCAATCAAGGTTTTCAGAAGCTTTTAATACTTCAGATAAACAACAAATTACCTTTCAGTGCAACGAAAATGGTAAAAATGTGTGTAGATGACAAGAGGTTTCGGTCATAAGTGTTAACTTATAAAAAAACTCAGAATGCAGATCATATGGAGGCTGGTAAAATACTGAGACACATATTAGTGATGGCACTTAAAGTCCTCAGTGGCCTCGGGGGTGGGGGGGTAGCTTTCACACTGAGAATCATTTTAGACTGAGGAATCGCCTGTTATTTTATTAGCATCAAGGAGCATGGTTAAACCTACACAGAGACATAATACTTCTATTAAGGATTTCTAAACAAATGAATGTTTTATTTATTTACTTAACCCTTAACAGTCAGCATTTTTCCATTAAATCAAGTCAATGATTGCTAAGCTAAGGTCTTCTAATCCCCTGTCAGAGAGGAAGTAATTATGTATGTTCACCATGGATCAAAAGGTGGAGTTCACCAAACCTGACAGAATTTCAAGTCAGCCCGGCAACCAACATGTTCAGCTTCCAAACTCATTCATCTCATTCAAAGCAAGCAGGTTAATTAAGAGCTCAGGCAGAACAGATATCTGGCATGAGCTGAGGTCAACTTGGGAATGTATGCTTGGCCAGGGCCATGAGTCCACAAAGCCATATGTAGACAGAGCCATAACACAGCTGTCAGCCTGGGGGCCCCACAGAGCCATAACACAGCTGTCAGCCTGGGGGCCC